ATTCAGGCAGACGGGAGGGGAAGTGAGCTAAAAAAGCAGAGGATGGGAGGTCCTAGCTCTCGAGTAATGGTGGCAGGGAAGGAATTACAGAAAGGAGGACAGAGAGAGAGAGCAAAAGACGAAGTGAGTGGAACAATATCTCCATTTCAGCTCCTTACATTTATCACCAGCCTATCTGCGTCTCTCCTGATCCCTCCTACTGCTCACATTCTGCTCAGCAACAAGGGACACACAGACAAACATAGCCTAGCATTTAGAGGCTAATGCCAGATATTTCCCTCAGGAATCTAGACCAAAACCGAGATTGAAAAAGAGGTAATATTACAGTTTGACTCATCTGTTAGCCATGAAATATGAATCCTTTTTTTTGGCAGTTGAAAAAGGTATATTTGGCTTTTAACAAAAAAGCTTTTCTTTTTCAGTTCAGCTCTTCACTAAAGGGACTCTATCAGCCCACATGAGTCTCATGTGTTACCTGTGAGGTCTAATTTATCCAAGTCCTCCAGAATACCAGCTAACTGGCTGGATATTTAAGCAACTTTCTGAATGTTTTGAATTTTTAACTATATTGTTTGACTTGATGAAGAATTTAAGTAAGCAACTCGGGAACTTGCTGGCTCAGCTGAAACCGTCTCACCTCTGCAACGCCTCTGAAGACTGTACAGAGGTCAGATCACTTGCCCCACCCCACCCCCCTTCTGTTACACCGCTGCATAATTTAGATTTAAGGTGAAACGTCCCAGGAGTAAAATATCACACCTTGAAACGGCATTCTGAATAGGGCTACTCATGTAGCTACAAAACAAAAGTGCATTTAGGTTCTACTTATATAATAACTAGAGGTCATCTAGGAGTCATCTGGCTTATGATTTGAATCAAATCTGTAAGGGACAGACTTATTAAAGAGGCAACTTTTGAGCATATTTGCCTAAACTATTGATTTAAAGTGAGGGCAGTCCCCTTCAATGGGCCATACGTTGAGTATTATTATAAGTTTTACCTCGTGTTTATTTATGTTATATCGAGGAAAAGGCTTGTGTTATTTTAAGATAACAGAGAGCTGTTGGGTAAGGCTACAGCACGATGAGATCAAGGCTTGAGTGGCTCTTAGGGTTAGCATTGCGGGCAGGGGCCTGAGCTGGCCGTGCTCCAGGCACATTGATCTGAGAGCTTCAGAACACGGAGAGACTGCAGCATCCAGCAGGCACTCAGCAGGGTTCCCCTGTAATGTATGTATGTGTCTCTTTGAGTGTGCTGAGCCCCCTCCCCCAACCCCCACCTCTCGAGCTAGCTATACATCCCGCTTTATTCCTGAAGCAGATTGGGCACAGGCGGTAGATGGCATACATTCTACGCCCCAGCTGGTCCGAGTCCAGCAGGAGGAAAAAACGAGGGCATGGTGGTTGCAGAGAGTTACGGCCAATGTGGAAAATCGTGCAAGGCTGCCAGTTGGCATGTGGCATGTTAGGGTCTGTATGCATTAGCGAGTACTTTGTGTGTAAGAGCAGGAGCTTAATATATCTGCAAGTGTGTGGGAGGCAAGGAAGCAGCTTAGAAGCACCTGGAGCCTATGAGGACCCTGAGATTTCCACCTCAGGCAACAGGCTTGCTGCCTATCAGACATGCATGCGCCTGTATGCACCCCAACACCTTTCCTACACCTGTCACTTTTCTTGACTCCCTCCTGAACGCATAGCCTTCACACTCTTTCATTTTAACACACATAGTCTTGGCGGCCCTCAAGCGTATACAGAGAACCTTTGGACAGGTTGGACTCAACACCCCAGCCCAGCAGGGAGATGGTTTAAGTGGTTGAGAGCCTGATGGTTAGAGGATGGCAATGAATGCTGATCCAAGTTGTAGCATAAGCTGCTGATTTCAGAAAAAGGTGTGGGAGGGGAACTGAGGGAGGATGAGATAATGATGAAGAGGAATCAAACAGTGCACAGTGAGTTTAGAGGATGGGAAGCACAGACAAGGACAATCAAGATAACAGAAGGAGCAATGCAACATACACACAAGATGGCCATTTTCCACAAAGATCACTCACTTGGTGGGAAGCCAAAATGCTCTAATACTTTACTGCTACAGTGGTCAGGGTCTGAAGGTTGTATTCCAAAGAATCTGATAAATTAGCCCCTTTCACATCGCCTGCTCAAGATGGGACTTTTACTACCACTTGCGCCAACACTTAAGATTCTTTATATGAGAAATGGAGCCCATACTTGAGAAGTCTGCTAGAACTGGAAACAACCTTTCAACAACATTCACTGTTTTATAAGCTAAAGGCAGCCTAGATTTGCATTCCTCAAATTATTATTATTATTTACAAAAGATACCATGAAGTAAGGAACATAATGGAGAACCAAACTGACATGGAGTATAAACCTTTAGTGGTAGGTTTTCGACATATCTTTGTCATCAACCAGTTAACTGAAATATTACCTCTCCTGCTGCACTGACAGCGTAGCATTACACCATCTTGTCTGACTGGGTCAACGCTTTAAGTGGAAACTACATTGCACTTCACTTGTCACTTGTCTGTTCATGTCTGGGCAATTCAATATCAAGCAATTGTGTAAGTGTGTTTTTTTGTCTAGCCATCATGCTGTATAGGATTTCTGATCCCTGTTCTTTAGGAATCGTATCTTAATAGCATGATAAGTCAATCTGGATTAACAGAAACAATGAAAATGCAGCCTGGTGGAACAGATGGGGCTCACTGCTCTGTATTGTGTGTTACTGTGTGCAGCTCTGGCCCAGGCAATTCATGTGACCTTGATAGGGGCAAAGAACAGTCAGCACCACGGACAGTTCCTAAGCACACAACGCAAATAGAAATGAGAAGATTTCACGTCTTACATGAAATCGAAGAGGATGCACGGTTCTCTTTTGCCCTAGTTAAACCTTGAGTTGATGCAAGAAACCTGCAACAAGAATCCTATTCTACATAGCAACATAACAAAATAGAAGGTGACAGTCCTGACACTGGAGGAGCAGGATTTGATCATTATTTGGTCTGTGAAATAAGGAAAGACTAAAACTGACGCATCTTACAATTAGATTCAAATCAAATAATCTAACATTTATTTTCAAAACATTAATGGAGTCAAATAAAGCCGGGTAGCCTCGCAGTTCTGTTGCCCACACCATGTACAGAGGCTACAGCTCTCGTTGCACCGACCATAGGTTTGAATCTGACCTCCGCCTTGCGCTGCATTTCGTCCCCCACTCTTTCCTCCCATCATTTACTGTCTTCAGCTGTCCTATCCAGGAAAGGCTAAAAATGTGTTTATATATGTAAAATGATGCAAATAAAGCAATACAAGATTGTGAAAAATTAAGCCTTAATTATGCATGTCCATGTGTTCAAACAGACTCTTGTTTGAGCCACACACCCACACATCCTGTTACTAAACTGAGAAGCTGGTACAAGGAGATGACAGTTTTTTTAAGTTGTTTTTTGGGCCTTTTTGTCTTTATTGGATAAGACAGCTGAAGAGAGACGGGAAATGTTGGGAGGCGAGACATGGACTCGAACCCACAGCCACAGCAACAAGGGCTATAGCCTCTGTACATGGAGCATGTGCATAACCACTTGGCTATCAGGTCTTTTAACTTGACAAATTGCCTGAATGATGCGTTAGTTATGAAATAAGTTGTATATATCAGCTCTGTAAGCTACACCGAGAGGAAGCCTTCAGCCTGAGTTACAGAACTTCACTAGAATCAACTCTGAATGGTGGCATAAATTCGACACTGTCTCCCAACTAATGTACAAGAAAGTGACTTTAAACCTATCACTTCAGGCTAAAGGCTTATTAGCAGCTCTCTGCAGCCTTGATTAATAGGTAACAGCTAATGTATTTGTGTCGTTTCTTAGATATTGTCTTCCCAGTGTGACATCTTTCAGGCGTCTTAATGAGAAACCGCCGTTTACAGTCTTCCAGCTTGCAAATTAGAACCTTATTATAGGTGTTTTAGATGCGAAGGTGCTGACGTTTATCTCAACGTCATTGATTTTCTATTAGGAATTAGCTTTTACCCTTGTTTTATAAGTTTGTTTACAATGTCATCGGGCTCTACTGGCACCTGCAAAGTCGCTTCATCTGCAGAGCCTAAAAGCAGGCGCATTTCTTTGAAAAATAAATAAATAACATCATCTGATAACATATCCTAAGTGTGGAAACTACAGGAGGAGGCAAAGGGAAACAAGTCCTCCTCCGGGGGGAGAAAAGCCACCCAAAAAGTCACAAGCCACCCCAAAAAACAAAACAAAAAAAAAAACGTAATCACAGTGTTTAGTCCCTGAAGATGAGTGACAGTCCACCTCGGTGCAGAATTAACAAACCAACCACAGTTAAAAGGCGAGCCATGGGTCCTCACAAATCAATATCCATTAAGCATGCAATTGATTAAACAGGGCAACAACGGAGCGAATAAAGTGAAAATTCACGAGGAGCTTGAATCACCTGTCAGAAAATTCAACCTGGGCTTGGCGTGAGAGGGTGTGAAGTTAATCGAAGAACACCAACAGCCTCGGATTTTTACAGCACAGGACCATACTGTATTACACTACACTGTGTTGCATATTTTTTTCTGTTTCGCCTTCACAGCTTTCCTTGAATATGTTTAAAAATTTCTGCTTATTCTCGTGAGGCTTGTTTAGTTTTTTTTTTTTTTTTTGATGGCCCTTTGAGGATGATACACTATTTTCTGTCCAAGTACATTCTCTATATTTAGATGTGACAATCTGCTGGAGTACACTGCGAAAATATCCATCTTATTAGGGTCACTGAATGTATTATTGATTCTGTTTTGAGAGGAAAATCTCGTTTTCTTAGGAGTGTCTTCTTACCATGCTAGGATTCAAATAAAGGTCATGTTGGTGGGGGGGGGAATACGGAAATGAGCACACTTTTGCTCAGGTGCGTAAGTTCATTTGATCGCTTTATTTCAACATTTGAACTCGGAGCAGAGAGCATGGAAGCTATACTTACTCCGTTTTCCTGGCCAATCCAACCGAGCGGCAGAGCGTGGTGGGAGTCTGCGGAACCAGCGACTTGCAGCAGGGGCTCCTCTTGTCCTCCTCTCCGGAGTCCGGGCTTCCTTGGCTCGCTTTTGGAGACTGCGGCGAGGTGGGCACGAGCTGCAGCTGCTGCGGGTGGTGAGAGGACGGAGCAGGAGGGGTCTGGTGCTGCTGAGGCTGGGCGGACAGACCGGGAATCTGCTGCGGATGCTGCTGCGGTGGAGGCGGCTGCTGCTGCGCCTGCTGCTGCTGCTGCTGCTGCGCCTGCTGCTGGCCGAGGTGAGCTGCAGCTTTCCCCGCGTGCTGATGGAGGTGGGCCGGCGCTTGGGGACTGGCGCTGCGGTGGGTTGAGTGATGTTGTTGTTGTTGTTGTTGTTGTTGTTGTGGCGGTGGTGGGTGGTGGTGGTGGTGGAGGTGCTGAGCGGGCTGCTGGACGTAGTGATGGGGGTCCCGAAGCTGCCGGTTCTCTCCGATCAGATCCTCCACCTTCCGCTCGAGCTCGTCGATGCGTTGGCGCTGCGTTTGGATCAGGCTCTGCTGGTTTTGGACGATGGTGGTGAGCTCCTTCAGGTAAAGAACGGCTTTCATTGGGTTATCCAGCAGGCTCTCCATCACTGACTGTAGCTGTGGCCGTGTGCCCGGCTTTGTTGACTCCTTCTTCGGATGTTTTCTGGCGCTGCAAACCGTCGACGAGGCCTCGAAAAGATGCGTAACCGGGATGATGTGGCCGCTGTCTGACGCCTCTATACGCTCTGCCAGGGTTGGGTAGTCTCTCTATCTCTCTCTCTCTCTCTCTCTCTCTCTCTCTCCCTCTAAATGGTGCTGATGCAAGGGGGGAATCAGCATCAGCGGGGGCGGGGCCGTAGTGGACGGTGATGTCAACACGTCTTGCACGTTTCACATGTGAATCCACAGACTTTGAATCACATAGCCCAACATGTGTTTACACCAGTCTCTCTCCTCCTGCAAGGAAAGTTCCACTTCACCAAGTAATTTGTTGAAAATTGAATCCCCGAGGACTTTGATTTGCCTTTAAAATAATCCTCACGCTTCAGAGCTGAACTAAACTGCACAGCCCCTGGTAGACTACAGCAGACGTGTAGGAACATTAAGTAATCCCTTCAGAGGAAACTCAATCTGTACAGAATTTGTTCAGGCTGTGTTGAGGTGAGGTGGCCCTGTACGTGTTGCACACAAAACATGCAAATAGTCAAAACACAAGCACGAATAGTACAACAGTTTGAAAGCATATGTGCAGCATTTGGGGGGGAAGAAAATCCAGAAACCCCCTGAAAACCATTTCAGAGCAGAAACGTGTTGTAACCATTGTTTTATATCATACAGCTAGTGATAGACAACCTAAATAAACAAGGGAGACATATTCTAGTCACTTTACAATATGAGAATATACAAAATCATTGCCAGCTGCTTTGGTGACATCTTTTGTAGACATTTTTATCTTTTGTCATGGTTTGTTGAAGATACCAGGGGTGTGTCAAGAGGGGTGGCATGGCGCCCCCCCTCAACTCTGATTGGCCACCCTAAAATATGAAACTATGATTGGCTAATTGCCTTGTCAGAGGCAGGCCTTGTGTTAAAATCTGCTATTCTCTTCTTGTTTTTACCACTTACGTCACGTAGTTTACTGCACATGTCAATGGAGAATATTTTCTTTAGTTTGTACTATTTCATCTAAATAAATACTTTGCATCCTTCATAAGACAGGAGTTTAGGAAAGCAATGAGCTAACTGAGTCGGTACCAAAACATTGCCCATCAATGTGTTTTGAAGTACTTCAAATTGTGAATTTGAACATACATATTTTGGGTCATGAAATAATTAAGCTATGGAGGTATATGCCATGATCTTACTGTATGTTAATACAAGTAGAGATTATGAGTGGAATAGGAAAGGATAAATAAATCATGCTTATTTGTGTGTTTGTGTGTACACGTCACACTTCAGGCAACCCCTGCCTGAAAGTCTGCACACGCCCCTGAAAGATGTCAAATTTGATTAACAGCACTGATGACCATCATAGGATATTACAACTGTCTCTCAGCTGTTAAACAACTGTTAATCTATTCTTAGCCTTTTGCTGATTAGCCTACCATTTTACTATTTTCAATCTGAAGCAACCTGAATGTTGTAGCTTAAAAATGTTGATATTTTTTTCTTCCAGTACCTCTCCAGTTCTCATCCACTTCTTATCACAACGCAACACTTGCCTTTCTGAAAATGTCTGCCGGTGTTCCAGATCTGACTTCAGCATGGGGATCAGGAAGAGCCTGTTCTCCATGTGAACTTGTGATGTGATTAATATCGCTCGTGGGGCTCTTTTTGAGCAGTCTTGGTATGTTGGGCGTAAGCTCTTTTTTTTTAAGGAGGAAAGTTTGCCTTACAGGATTCAAAAAGAAAGGTATAGTGGAGAATGTAACAGCTCTTCTTAATGGGGCTCACTTCGCAGCACAGTCTAAGAATGATTTAATTATTCTATACTGTGTATACGTTGTCTTTCTTTAACATGAACATTTACCATTTCCAAAAGTTTTTATCGCTATGTAAACAAATGATATAGTTTGGAAAGGAAGCTATATTCTGCTTTTCAGTCTCTGCTTTCCTATCGGTGACTTCACCAAAAGGGAAATAAAAAACAAGTCAACCAAGAAGATAGCAGAGAGCAGAGCAAGAAGAGGAAATGGGTTTTAGGTTTGCAAAGATGATCTCTCCTGATAAAGACTAAAGTGATGTTTCACTGAGAGAGTGCTCTGCTGCTGTAGCTTGGTGCTGTAGTTTCTGCATTGCCAATGTGCAGGAATTTCTACTTATGTTTTAGTTTGTTGTCAATTGAATACATGTTTTATTAGTTTCAGGCCTCATGTTTGTGTTTGGCAGGTTGTTTTAAAACTGACAAGATGATGTTGAGTCACTTTTGTTAAATTCGTTATTTTTAATTCATGATCGGCAGTCTAATGAGGCAAACGACAGTCTGCCAATGTCCTCCAGAATTGATGTGACATTAATGATATTCTGTGATTAATGCTATTTTTATGATAACGTTCAAAATGTTGCACTTGTTTGTTTATTTATTTTGGCTGGACATGGAAAATGTTCAAAGTGTTTGAATAACTTTTTACACCCCGCTCAGAGGAAATATAAATATGGTTTGACATTGAGCCAGTTAGGTATTAGGAACACAGTGGTGAGCCAGTGTGGGTGCAGCCAGGGTCCTCCGCTTCCATATGGCTGCTTTACCAGCTGCATGAAGGGAAAAATGGGCTTGCGCACCCGACTAGCAGTACACAACTGGAAAGAGACAAAAGAGCATTTTACTGTGGGATTGTAAAAATTGGAAAAGCTGCCAGCAGTGACTTTTTGCTGGGGTGACATCTGCAGCGTCCAGCCTTGCTTATTCTGGACCTTAAGCGGGAAGAGCTGCAACCCACCTTTAACACCAATTACCCTCCAGGAATCTGAAGCCTCAATAGGTTGCATGTCCTTGATCAGAAACGACTGGGTACAAAGTGTGATATGAATGATAAAGTTTTCCCGTCTGATATCATGCAGCAGGAGATTCTAAACTTTATTTGCTTTCTAGTTATGACGAAGAGACTACAAAGATGGTAGCTGCAGTTTGATCATGCATAAGTTTAAAGATAAGTCAATCGCCTTTTCTGAAAAAATAGACTTATAGTAAAGTGATTCCATATTTATTCCATGTATTTTTAAGTTGTGTTTTGGTTGACACTGGATGTTTCCGGGTGGACATAGCAGCAAAGCAGAGAAAATATAAGCAGTGATGCAAAACGCAGAGCGGATATTAATCTTGTTCTAAAATGAGGGTGAACCTTGTGTTGGCTTTTACCCATGGACCATATCCTGTAAATATGAATAGACAAAGCCTGAATGATGTCAGCCATCTGTTACAGCAGGGGGCCTCAGAGGCTCATTGGCAACAGGCGCCATTCATACTGGAAATGCACACGCTCAGCTAAAATGTGCAAAGACTTGGTATACAATATCTGAATATCATCTCAAACAATATAACCTCTACAACCTTTGAGAGATCGCTTATATTCAAATACCCGTCTCCTCTAAACGAGAAGTTGGAAAATAACTTTGCAGTGTTAAAGTTTTGTCCCATCTTAGGATCCTCCTGCAGAACTTTTAATCTCAAAAGTGTGCTGTTTCCATGTAGGCTTTCTCCCCAGAGAGCTGTCGTATCTTGGGTTTTGTTGCTCAGTTGAAAGTGTATCGGCTGTTTTCTCTCTCATTATTCAGCAGTGTTTGATGCAGTCTGTGCAGACTGAGTGCACGAATGTGAACCCGAAGAAACAGAAAGCTGCCTCTCGAAACAAAGAGTGTCTGGAGTTAACAAGGATTCCTGTGTTTGTTTTGAGTAGCCATAGCACTCAACACTTGCATACATATTTGAAAAGTTTCCATTTGAAGCGAGCACTCTACTTCATTCTATCACTATACAGCATTTAAAGTACTTTCTCACTTTTCTCTAATCTTCAGACTTAGCAATTAAAGATAACTGCTCTTTTCTTTGGCTCCTCTGGGGGCAGGGCCTCTCGTTAATATCGATAAATGGGTGGCTGCTTGCACCTGACTCGACTCCGAATAGGAGATTTTGAGCCCTAAAATGTCTCGTTGGTTAAGGATGTTTTACGTGTTATCATTATCCCTTTGGCATGAAAAGTTTTTGGGAGACAAACACAATGAAAAGGAGACATTTATCACAATAAAGCTGTCACTTGCAATGAATGATGCCAAAGAAGTCTAATGTGTTCACGTTGTAAGAACTGATGGAGAGGGGAAAAGTTTAAGGTTTATGACAGGAGTAAGGAATTAAACATTTTTCCAAGGACTTTGGCGCATTAATGACAATAAGAGACGCGATAAGAGTTGGACGACACGATAAAGCAATTAATGTCAGGTCGAGATGAATTACTTCCAATGCTACACTTCATTAGCGACCCTCTGCAGAGGTGCCAGCTGAGAGAAGCAAGCCAGTGAGTCATTGACACCATGAGCGTCTGGTAAGTAAAGTACCATACTTAAAAAGATTTAGCTAAGTAGCAGCAAGGATTGCTTGATGTGTACACTAAATGCTCTTGAGACAGAATTAAAAGGGTTTTTAATGCCATGAAGAAATTTGTGTCCGCAATGTCATTTTTTTATATAAATGCAACGCTAAATACAAACACCAGTATGCCATTTTCAACCAAAATGTTGCTAACATGCTAGTGCTTAGCAGGTCAAATGTTCACCATGTTCCTGATCCTAGTTAAGTGTGCTAGCATGCTCACATTTACAAAACATTTGTATCCTCCAGTGACCATGACCAGCTACACCAACCAACCAACAACCAGTCCTAGAGCCAAGCTGCTAGTTCTGCTAAGAAATAATCTAAACCAATTCAGAAGGGCTTAAAAATTCTATTTTACAGTCTCAATATTTAATCCAGTAGGAGTTAGAGAGGCCGACGCTGAATGCTGAAAATACTGTGTGTGTGGTACACTACTAAGGGGAGTCCAGGTTAAAAAAAAAAAATAGTTCCACATTGATTTTCCAAAGTATCTGTACACAGAGGAATAGATGGAAATAAAAGAGCAGCAGATGAGTAACATAAGGTGTTCTACGCTGGGATTCAGGGTTGTGGGTATGAAAAAGTGGTTACAAATACAGAAAAGAATATATTTTATTTGGTTTTACAAAATTATAGAACAACAAAGCCTGACATAAACATATTCA